TCTAACAATGGTTGTAGGCGAGTAGCACAATTATTTATACAAAACAATACTTATATTATAAACAGGGATTGTTCAGGTGCAATCATTTCTTATTATAGTTATTTGTTGACTAAACAACAGATGTCATTTTTGTCTTGGAAAATTTTACATAAACTACGCCGTATTTTCATATTTCAATATGGACTAAAAGTCTTCGTACAAACACGCAAATATAGTACAAAATTAGAACTGTAATGTGGCTCGGGCACACTTGTGAGGTGTAAATCATGTTGTTTGTGACAGAGTTATAGGAGGACATGAACTTTCGTTTTAATGGAAGCAACTACACTTATTATATTCGTGTTTTACGTTAAGTTGCCAGCTTGCATTTACTACACACTTACTATATATATCTTAAAGAGTAGTGTAATAAATTGATTTTTTTATGACTATGAAGATTTCCGCTTGCCTTCTTGTCGTGCCCCTGTAGTGAGTCGCTAGAGCGTGATGTGAGTTAAGATTAAGGTAAGCTAAGGCACCCATACTGCCGTCAGTAAGAAGGAAACGTCCCAGACTTTTTAATAGGTCCCCCCATCCTAAGATTGATCCTCATCAGAATAGTGGGCGAGATGAGGAGGAATCCCACATTACCTCGTCGCCTGACCCTGCATCGCGGTATGTGTCAACCATTTCCGTGGGTTAAAATAAAATAAAAGGGCTGGGCAACAAGCTTTCTATCTCGGCACCTAACAAACACATTTAGCATTGTGGACTAGATTGAGTTAAACTACCCTCACTGCTGCTTAACACTTGCCGGTTTGGTGGTTTAATACTGTCTTTAGGTATAGTTACTCGAAACAAACTGCCTTAATTTTGCTTTGCTGTAGATACGCTACAATACTGGGTAGGGGATTGGGTCACACCGGAAAGGTCGCTTGGCTGGCTAGGTAGGTTGGAGCGGCATAATTTCTGCCGCATTATCATCTCCGCGATTGGACTCCACTGACACTTAACAACAGGTGAGATAGGGTAAATTGTTGCGCCTCGTATAAAAAAATCTGAACCATACTACCAGAGTCTATTAGACTGATTGCTGTCCTTTTAATGGAACCGGAGTACAGTTTAAGTTTTGCGACTTGTATTTTAAGGCTTAACTAGTACAGCCTCGACTACTACGTTATATAGATAAAAAAAATATGCTTCACATTAAAGAGATGAAGGGCATCTCCTAGCAGGTGTCCATAATTGACGTAATTTGGTCGCCTGTCGCTCGAGCCCTTGGCACTGTCACGAAAACTACATAATATCTTGGCAGCAATTAAAATTGCAAGGTTTATTTTTAATATTTGATAATGAAAAAAATATCATTAACTTTTATATGGAAGTCGTATTTTTTATGACTATCTTAGTCTGCACTTATTAAAATTAAAACTAAGTAGTTCAGAAATGAAAAGTATTGCTTTTCATATATCATTATTAATTTCACAGATAATCGTGAACATGATACCCAACGAAATCAATTTAGTGGAAACAATATGAAATAGCCCAAGAATATTAAATGAGTAATCTGACGATTTTACAGTTTATTCTATTTAGCCGAAGGGCCATACATAGCCGGCGGCGGTGTAACTAATTTTAAATGTGAGTTCATGAATTGCCAGGAAATATGATCAAATGATCTGACCGAGGAGGCTTGTAGTGTCCCTGCCAAATTGTAAAATTATCCGATTTACTGTTAATTAGTACACGCATTTAGAAATAGTCTCAGTTGTGTGGGCGCATTGATAAATATCTTTCACTATTAGATTTGTTACCGCTAAAGAGCTGTGAGTCACAATATGCGCTAATGAAATATAATACTATATAACCTCCTTATTAATAAACGAAGAATAAGCTTGGATTAGTTACTCCATATTTTGTTATTCATTGAATGACAAATGGCATTTGATTCGAATTAAAAAAACACGGTGTAACAACTCTTAATCATTATTCCTCCTTTATTAAGAAGGGTTTAAAGGTTTATTCGCAACATTTTAAGTAAATTCGACTACTACAGATATAAATCATATCTTCAGAGCGGACTGCCTTAATCGTGTATTAAAATACTTGCCCACTCTGTCTTAAAATTAACCAATGTAGGAACATAAATTGCCATCAGTTTCACACTTACTACGTTTATGCTTGTTTATTTGTATTCTATCAATGAAATAATTACCAAACTATTAGCATTAAATTTTCTTGTAGCCAAGAAAAATCGGTATGTTATGTCAGGTGTAGTGTAAATTTCGAATTGTTTGCAACACAAAAACGTATGACACGATAAGAAAGGTTCAAAAACTACATGAAAAGCCCATATTCCAGTTTATTTCTATCTGCGTACGATCCGATCTCCTGTAACTGCTTGATTAACGCAAGAAACAAACACCATGCTTTCATATTTATTACGAGGATTTCTGTAATAACGTTGATTTACTGGTTCTTGTAAAGGATTTCCCTGTTCATTAAGGACATCCGTATTCCCAACTCGATCTACAAATTCAGAACATTAACTTGCACGTGCTTTATTAACGCAGTGCCTAATAAAAGCAGTTAGGCAAACGATGTGGGGTACACATTGCGCGGGCGCACGTTTCCTGCTAAATCTAGGCTGCCATTTAGAGCAGTTATTCTACATTTGTGACTCGGTTTTTCGATTTGATTGCTCTGTTGTTTTATCCTTAAGTGGGTTATAAACTCTTTAAACGATAAATTAAACTAGAGAGTTGTAGAAAGTAAAGAAAGTTTTTAAATTTGTCATTAAAGGCTATTTACATTGCGTTAAACACTTTTATGCCGATTATGCAGGTTTGTACTTTATTTAGATTAGAAGTTACTGGAGTCAGAACGTCGTCTTTCTTGCTTTTTTATTGATTGCAATTATTAGTTCGTGTTTTAACCATCTATCGTTGTATTGCAATAGTCAATCCTGGATTGATTGACAACCGCCGGTGCTCGAGTGGTTAGTTAGCGAGACTTCGCTTCGTTATCTCCGATAGTCTTGTGGATTTTGCTAACTAGATGCAAAACGAGCTTTCTCGATATTCTCTGGATTTCAAATTTTGTGTTTAAGTCTGCCTGGATTTGTTTAGCTCGAATCTGAGAAATGGCCACTTTTTTATTTAATTTCAAAGACGTACGATGCACACAAACAAAATACAAATCCAAGTCATCAATTAAACGGAATGTGTTTACTACACTTGAAACACGCATTTAGTACACAATAGTAACACGTCGTATTATAATAGTATCTCTAACTTTCATATTCCTTAACAAAGCTTTAATGATCAACTAGATATAGCCAATAGCTGACGCATTGTATATTTAATTCACTTCGCAGTCTAGTCTAGTGTACAACACGGAAGATGGTATTTAAAATTAGATTGAATTATTAGCGCAAATGTAGTGAAACCGATTGCTTATAACGTGTTGGTACAGTGCCAACAGGAAAATATAACTAGGTGTCTTATAATAAACTTAATGGTCACTTACTGATACCAGAACTTAAGGAATTCTGACCTATCAGCACCTACAGATAAAAGCTTCTGTCAACACAATCTATAAAATGTCAACGACAACATACTTTAAAATTAGGCATAATGTAAAAATAAAATGTGCTAACACAAGCCTGTGGTTGTACTTGTATCCTAAGTCCTTGTTATTCTATTGGAGATGCCGTATAAACACATAATGACTTCTATGGTTGAGTGTCAGGTTTTTATGGTGGTGTCAACCCTGAGGTCGCCGGCCGTGTAAATATAGGAAAAATAACTTTTCTGTATTGTCTCGGTTCTGTGTTTTGTAATAAGACTGTGACTGTTTATTCTAATTCTATTGAGTCTAGAACAACGTACTAGTAAAGTTACCTTAAATTGTTTCAAAAAAGTGGTTTTATGAGGATAATATTATATAAGATTTCGAACACTGCTTCATTGGTTTTTGATTAGATAAGTTTATATGTTTCTAAAATATACGCGTCGACTTGAGTACCTCCTCCGTTTTTTTCATCGGTTAATAAAGGTTAAAACGGTTTCCTTTTAAAGATTGTCATTCAATTTACTAACGAGACTGCCATATGTCTTTTATAGGTTCGTATTTTAAAACGTTGAAATGTTTTGAACTATTTTTACAACTTTGTACACCGAATATGGCTGCGGCGCTCAATTTATCAATTTGGTCTGTCTTGGTATGACAGATGACTAAATGAGAAAACTAGGAACAAACAATCTCGTCCCACCTGTAGTCAAATTATTTTGCTACACTTGACTGTTTTCGTCATCCCCTTCATAGTCAAAGAAAATTGTCAAAAACAACTAATCTCTATCCCAATTAATTATGACATGTGAAGGTGCTAATTCACCGGGTGCATTCGCCTGTAATGTAACATTTTAGATTTGATTTTGAGCATTACATTACAATTCTGCTTCCCTGACCGACGATATTTTACCTGTAGGTACTACATAAATTGGATTTTCTTCCGTAACACGACAATACCGAAAAGTAAATGCCCATCGATGTGACAAGTTGTATCAAAACATTACCGATTGCATCATTACAGGTTGCGGACCTTTATGCTCGGTTTTCGTCTCCCACCGATGTAATATTCGAAGAAGAATCGGTAACGTTACATGACAAACAAATACTCCCGGTGAGGGAGTGACTTATGGGATCGTAGGAAGTTACACACTTAGGCCCTTGGGATTCGATATAGAATTTGATATATTTGTCTTAGGCATAGAACACTCGACATTTAAATCTCTATCTGAGATATAAATCTCTAATATGGTTAATAGATCGCTCTCAACTGTGGGACTATGATCTTGAGATATTGTTTTCATACGAACCAGCATCTCAAGATCGTACTCATTAATACGGGCCTAAAACTGTAATTCGACTCCCAGATGCTAAATGAAGTGGAGTCGGGAGTGGAGTTTGAAGACAGTAATTCTATCATGCTTATGTCATCATAAAATTTATTTGCAGCGCTACAGTTTCCGATCCTATCTGTTGTATTTTTTATCTCTGTGGGAAAGGTAGCAATAGTAATTTAATTGCGCTTATTTTGTTTTTTTTTCTCCTCCCAGTTCAGCATGCTAGTTTCACAAGTCACTACCTAATTGTAATGCACTTGTATCAGAGAAATGTAGGCGGTCACTTGTCAATCTCTTAACTCCATTTGACTCCATTCAACCAACATCAACAATGATTCCCAGATCACTTTTTGTTACATAATTTTATGCAAAACCGATGTCTTGAATGGATCTTTTCTAGCGGTTAAACTGACAAACAATCGGCTGGTTGTCTGCTTTCACAACTTGATGGAGCGGCAAATAATTAATGATAAAAATATAGATGACGTTTTTTGTTTTAATAAAGACGGATTATAAATTGTTGAACGCTAACATTATTTCTTGTGTAATTGTTTGGACTCTATTTTTGAAACGCTGATGATTGATGCTGTTTGTGAAATTAAATATAACACAGAAAAAGATAAAGATAATACAGAAACTTATTTTGATAAAGACCTTCTACTATACTAGTCTTATTAATATTTTCTGCACTTAGTCGCACTTCAATGGGGTTACATTCGCCAATCACAACCCATACTGAAAAAAAAAATACATAATACTTAAATATATATTTGCAACGATTGTAATCCTTAGTTCATGCTTTAAAACAAATGCGCTGACTAGAATTAGAATTTTGGATTGGATCATTAGGCGGATCTGTTACGTCCATAAGTAATTGAGATTCCAGAAAAACGAATGATAGTAGCGCTCCTACTGCATGCCATGCTCTAAAAGGTTTGAATCCCGGTAGGGAAAATTCATTTGCGTAATCAGCACAAATATTTCGTTATGGGGAATGGGTGTTTATAAACTAATAGTAAGTATTTGTTGTCCCACCAATCAGCACTGGACCCGCGATATAGATCAGAGCCCTTCTCCCTATTCCATCCATAGAGAAGGCATGTGCCCCAGCAGTGTGGATACTAATGCCGCCTTTGCCCACATTATTGTAATGTGTATTCTTTGAACCTATGTCCTTTTGTATGTGCGCAACAAAGTGTTCATTATTATTACTAGCCCATATTAGGTGGTGTGATTACTTTCATTCGGTATATTCATAAAATAGGTACACAAAATGTTAACAAATGAAAAGATTTACTAAAATAGATCGTCATCGCACTTAAAATTATGACGGATGGAACATCAACCATTGTCAAATCGTTGTAGGAAATGAATCAGCATCGGTGTAATGTATAGAGTAGAATACAACGACCGACACACAAAATGAAATTCTCAGAATGGACCAAGTGATAAAACGTATTCTTTGTGTCACAGCGAAAACAGTTTAGTTTAGAACTTGTTTATTTATTAGCTCACAAACAACAAATTAATATTAAATATTATAAAACTAAACTGTAACTCTAAAGATGTGGGCATACCGAGTTAAAATTTTATGGGATGAAGTTTACAGAAAAAAATATTGAAAGTAGATTTTCAACAATAAATCACTTGCAAAAGTACAAATGAACTGACTTTTTTTAATGAAGTATTAATCTTTGGATTTCTTTCCTAAATGTTCTTGGGAGAATGATCCTTATGCAGGTTATCGTATAGACGACACATATTTGTGATAGGATTATAAAAAGACGTGTTGTTTTTATAAACGAGCAAAGCAAATACCCTATATGGGTTTACGGATTTTTTAGATCATGGATTACGTGATTTAAATCTAATATTGAAACTAAGCGTTGAGGCAAGAAATGGTGAGTCGAGGAGTGAGTGTACGATTTTATATAGGTAAATTAACAGGTGATATTTTCGCTGAATTCTAGGGAAGAAATTTGAAACCTTTTTTAATTTCATCTTGTAAGATTTATATTTTCGACCTAAATTAAGTTAGAAACTGAGAATAATGAGAATCTTTGTTTGAACTCCTTCAATACATTGTAATGAGGAGACCAAAGGACTGAGGCATATTCTAATTTGTTTCTCACTAATGAGAAGTATAGGTATAGCAGAGTTGACTGATTGGTGAATTCTTTAGTGTAACGTGAAATAAAACCAAGGAGTTGATGGCAATAGAAAATCAAATAGTCGTAGTGTGGACGAAACGTAAGACCCTCGTCATGATATCCACCAAGATCCCTAATAACAAGTGTACGTTGCAGTGTAGAACCACCGGTATGGTAATCAAAAACGATTTTATTTTTAATAGAAGTAGAGGATATAACATTACACTTGCTAGAGTTGATAATCATATGGTTATCGGAGGACCAATTATTAACTAGATCCAGATTGTGCTGCAACTAAAGGCAATCTTATGTATCTTGTATGGTATAAAAGATTTTGAGGGCATCCGCATATAACAAGCAAGGACAAGTAAGACTTTCCGCTAAATCATTAATAAAAACCACGAAAAGCAAAGGCGCTAAGTGGGAGCCGTGTGGAACGCCCGATACTTCGGCCGATACTAAAGTACAAGACGAGAGATGTCCCTGCATACTTACAAGCTGACTCCTTTTATCCAGATAATATATCAGCCATCTAAACATGTTGCCATATACTCCATAGCACTCTACATTCTGACAAAGTAACCGGTGGCAAACCTTATCAAAAGCCTTCGAAAAGTCAGTTTAAATGGAATCCACTTAACATCTTTCGGCAAAAGCAGAGCACAAATAAGAACTCGGATCAATTTGATCTGAATAAAAAAAACCGGCCAAGTGCGAGACGGACTCGCGCACGAAGGGTTCCTTACCTTAGGGTTAGGGTTCCTTAGATACTATACCACCTATACAACAGTACACTATATTATAATATCGAGCACGAAACGGCAAAAGAAGTTTTTAGCATTCGCTCGACAAAGATCTTATCATTATATTAAAAAAGCTTATCTACGTTGCCTGATGTTCTGCATCGTTCATGCTGATGTGTACACACATGATGTTTTCAAAGATACGTTGAAGATGGTTAGATGCAAAAGAACCACCTGGTGGTTTAGCAGATAGGTAGGTGAATTCACAGCGGGCGCTCACACCGCTTAATTAATCTCACTCGTGTCGCCTCGCCCAATAATGGATCGATCCAATTACGAGGCATTGTAATCGATTTTAAGATAACAGATGCGATTGCGTATTATATGTACTTACTGCTGTTGCGTAACGGATTAGGCACGCTTCCGTTAATACTGCCGTAGTCATTGACTGCAGCTTATTCTAAGAAATGAATCATGTCGCCCTTAAAACTAGTTCTCACATTTAATGCGTCATAACGGAATGTGTGAGAAGATTCTTTCATCTGGGAAAAATGTGCGATTCCCTTAAAAAGCTTTTAAATCGTATTTAAACGAGTTATGACTTTTGGGTGTTGGTATTTAGATTATGAGGATAAAAATCTTATGTTAGCTTTAAAATCAATCAAAATCATTAAATAAAAGTATTTACCTACCGCAGATATTTAGTACTTAAATAGAAGTGTACTCTTTAGTGCATCATCGCTCCACCAGGTCAACTGTTGGAAGAATAGAATACTTTGTTTTTAATTTCATTTAAGTACTTAGGTGGAAATAGGACTAAATATTGAAAAAAATGCTATTGATTCTTATATGTGTAGGTATTAACTGATAAAAGGAGATTGCTCAGCTTCCATACATGTTTGGCCTAAAGACCAATAATCATGAAAAGTTGTTTCCTAGATTCGAAATTATATATAAATTACTGTAGAAACGAATATTATTGACGGACACCCCTGAGAACTTCTATAAACCATATACACTGAACATATCAAAACAATAAAAAACAAATAAGTTATATACTAAACTAGGGAAATCAAGCCAATTACCGAAATTATGGATTAGATTCAGATATATAGAGCATGTAGATTAACAGATAGTTGCCTGTTTTTAAAGTTAATGCATAAGAGTAACTTTTAAAATCAGGTGTCATTTCCGGCTATAATAAGGTAGGTACTCTGTGACAGAAACTGTGTGATGATTGTGAATGAGCCACAGATTAGAGACAATTTTTAAACTCTCGTTAACCAAATAAAGCTAAGAGATTTAGGTTCTATAGCCATATATTCAGTAGCTTCATTATTTTTGTTATGTTTTTAAGATAACTATATTTTAGATTTTTAGTGTATCACACCTTATAATTTTATTTATTTATTAACTTATAGTCAGGGAACGTAGGCCCATAGATTGATACCTTAAGTCTAACATATATACAGATTTTAATGTGTTTATGGAGGTGTTTAGCGAAAAATGTATGGCAATAGACTTTATGATGTCACCTACCATCTATAATAATTGCCTGAGCACATTTGCATCTAGTGAAAATTATAATATAGTTGTGGATATTAAAATGATTTATTTTATCGATCTTTACATAATAGATTTGTTTTTATTGTTATATAAACAACTTCGATCAGTCTTTGGCTGAATGTTACTTCACCCATAGCCATTAAAAATGATTCGTATGTTTTCCAAACCGGTTAAATTAAAAGTCCTTTTTAAAGTAAATATATTATACAAAGGTGTCCGTTGAAATCTAATGACTGTAAATTAAATTATAAATTACGCCAAGAATTACCGTGTATGACAATATTTTTTGTGTATTAAGGCCAATTTGAGCAATCTCCTTTACAGATTTCTTCTTATTAAAGTAGACTGCCCTAATCGAGAGTATTTACTAATATTGAACGCAAAAGCTTTGGGAAAATGCTTTATAGCCCGCCAGAAGGCACCAAGCCGGGTGGTTAGTATCGAAGGTAAAGGTACCATTTCTAAATAATATCGGACAGAAACTGGACCGGCCAGAGCTTTGCGGAACTAGTTTGTTGCGACACTTCTTAGAGCTTGGCCACATGACTACGATGCCGCTTTGTAAACGTTAAACACCACGGCACAGATATAAGGCGTTGCATTGTCCTAATAAGGATGTTTAGGAAAATTTACGTTACCAGTTGGCGCTACTGTGACATGACATCTTTTGTATGAAATTGTTGGCGCGAATAACTTACTGACTACTGACTAAAACACAGCCGCAGTTCATGCTTATGGCCAGAAGGGCCTTCTAAGCTTCATCTAAAGCGATCGTCCCCACAGTTGTTGCTGTGGGGCAATGTTCTTCCCCACCTTCTTCATCCTTTAACCAGTATTGTCCCTCGCCCCGCTCGAACCGTGCCCCACAGGTTGATGTGCAATGCCCCGCGACCAGTTAGGACACTTAAAAGAGAGATGTATTTTATGAAATCCATCGTACGATCGTTATTAAATAGGCTGTGCTCGTACGACGGCTTACGAGCTGTAATTAGGACAATACGGAAGAAATCTGTGTGTTTAAAAATCATCGTACAACGAGAACACAACGTGTCATCGAGCGATCATTACCAATAGGCTAGTTGACCCTTTTTGTAAAAAGGTTTTATATGGTTAATAAATGTTCTATTGGACGGAAAAAAAATGTATTGTATTTTTTTGAGACCTAGAAAGCAACAAAGCTTTAATTTTAAAATAGAATTTTCATGGACATACAAAAACGCTGTCGGCCATTTTAGTCTATAGATTGTTATGATGTCAACTGCAGTAAACAAAAACTAGTAAGCACGTAGAAAATAACTAATCTGACTTTATAATAAAAACAATATGATTTCTAATAAATACCACGAAAAATAAAGTAATTATCATTATTGTAGAATATAAAAACACATCCTTGAAGACTCCAGGAATGTTGTGGATTAAAGTGCCGAAAGAACCTACGCAACTTAGTTAACCTACGCAACTTTATTACACTTATTCATATGTTGTATCAGTTTTATGTTTATTACTACATTGGTGCCAATTCTGACGTGATTCTCTAAACTTAAAACTAAATTTAACATCATTCTCTCCTTTTCATTCTGTTTAAAGAATGACAAGGATATACTACTGTCAAATTTAAGTTTAGGTTTAGAGAATCATGCTAGAATCGACACCATTGTAATACTAAATGCACTGTACTTACATAGATGCCTTGTCGTTTCTCTGCTCCGCAGAGCAGAAATCGGGGTTTAGTGCATAAAAATCACCAATCATCAATGCGTCAATTCTTGGCAGATTTGTGCTTTCTGCTTTCACAAAGCCGGCATCCATAATTATTTTTGTCAAAAAAAAAACAGTAAACGGAAACTTTTCTAAAGTTAAAAGGATTTTAAGATAAATTTATTCAGACTAAAGAATCCACCCACAATAACACGCGAATGACATTTAGTTGTTTACTAAAAGAGACGTCACAATCATGGCGGATGTGGCGAACAGCGTTTTTAGTGTTTAAAAAATAAAGACTAAACAATATTTTTTAAAATTAAATTTCTACAGCAATCTTCTGCTTTTATGAAGTGAAATCGATATATTTAGGTTTTTTAGACCAAACACTGTAAGAAATAAACAATAATTCGACACGAGTCAACTAGCCTATTATGACGACGCCATACTGTGTCGTGCGTGCAATTACTTGGTATGCCATTCAAAAAATATGGTAAGCAGTAAAAAGCAGTATTAAAAGCAGCCTTAAAATTATTTAACCAGCAAACAAAGATTTTGTTAGCAGTAATAAAAAACAGGCTGCAGTTCTTGTTCTGTAAACAATCATGATAATGGTCAGTAATTTAAACATAAGCAGACTGCTTCTTTTATTATGTATCTGCAAAATAAACAGTGACATCGCAAAATAATTATTTTGGTAGCAATATTATTGAATTGAGTAGCAGAGAACTATTTCTTTTAGCAGTGTATTTGATTGGGCACACCAATATTTAAATTTGGGTTAGCATTATAAATAGTTAGAATGTGTTTTTATTTAAAAATCAACAGTGTTCGTTAAAAGTGGGTGCCTATAAGGGGAAAAATGAAACTCAAAGGCAAAACGGTAGGTACCTACTATAACTAAAATATTTTGTTAGATTTGCTCACCTGATTTTATATCTCTATTTTAATTATAAAAATAAATCAAATTGTTAATTATTATATCACACATATTATCCCAATATAACTAAATATACCCAGTAAAAGAGGAAATAAATTAATAATTATTTGTAAGGGTGCGCCCATTTTGTGCATGACATATTATTGTAATAATTTTGGTAGAATTATAATAGTAGCACATAATTGAAATTTTGGCCTACTCTCCGAGTGCTTATCAAATTTTGATCAAAGGATATGTAACTCTTTGCAGCTTTTATATGTTTTAGGCTGAACAAAAAAATACTGCTGTTTAGAATGTTATAAATTGCAGACTGATTTAAAAATATTTGCTGACCATAAGTTGCGGCCCAAATAGCTATTTTGTCTAACCATTTTTTATGGTATTAAAATTGCGATTTCTTTACTAACAGTTTAAATAACACCCCTTCGAAAGCAGTACCGCACTAGGCTATTTTGTTGAGATAAATACCTACGCGTCAAATGAGCGTTTTAAAGTTTTTGTTTAGTAAATGTCTCAGATATTTCGGTATTCTTTTAGATAACTAGTTAGATTCATAGCTAGTTCATAGTTGTCTCAAGCGAAATAAATAGTTAATTAGCTAGTTAGCTTATTAGAGCTATTATTAGAGCATTGTCTCACTTAATTTTTCTAAAATTAGTAGGTATTTAATTATTGTTATTGAAAAAGAAGAAGAAGCCAAATAAAGCCTCTTTAATAAATCTATCCATACACACTATAGTTATTAATGCGAAAGTCTGATTGTCTTTCTGTTACCTCTTCACGCAACCGCTAACCTTAAACCGCTGAACCGATTGAGATGAAATTTGGTATGTAAATAGTTTGTGTCCCAAATACAAAGTATAGTTTTATCCCAGAAATGATCCTTAAATGCGGTTGAAAGGGGGGGATGATTATTAGGGAAATCAATTATTTTCAGGAAACGAAACTGTGACAAATCGCAGATCAAACAATCGAACGAATAGACTAGATTTCAAACATAATTTTGTAATTAAAAAGTATTTTTAAACAAAAAATAAAAACAGACTTAGAAATAAAAAAAATATAATGCTCATTACAAATGAATATCAATTCCATATTTCAGTCTTGTTCCCGCCCCACTTCCAAATCATGAACTGGATAGTATTGTTAACTTTTCAGTCCCATTTTTTGATTTTGACAATAATGGTCATAAAATTTATA